AAGTTTTTTTTTTTTTTTTGAGACAGAGTCTCACTATGCATTTCAGTTTGGTCTCGAGCTCACTTTGTAGCCCAGGCTGGCCTCAAACTCACAGGGATCCTCCTGCCTCAGCCTCCAGAGTGCTAGGATTATAGGCATGCGCCACCACGCCTGGCCAAGACTAACTACTTAAACACTAATGAAGGCTTAAAGCTCATCAAATTAAGTTATTAAATGGTTTGTGTAAATAAAACTATACATAGCTAATGTTCAAAGTTTATCTTGTTGCTAAAGAATCAGAGTCACGCATTACTTTAGTAACTATACCCAAATTTAAGAGTGATCATGAGCTGATTAATATTGCAAAGTGCTGCACTTTGGGTGGGGGAAATACTTTACTGTTGGTGACTTTTAGAAATCTAGTGTTAGTCTTTTTAAAACTGGAACAGGTCTACATTTCCTCCTTGACACGGGCTATTTAAAGGAACCAGCTAAGTTTTATAAGATGACCCATATCCTCAATGGTTTAACTTGTCCCTCAGTCCTCAACCAATTTATTTTCATGAAGTTTAGCCTACAGGTTTGGCTAGCTTTAAAGGAGAACTACATGGTTGGTGTATAGCGTCTCATCAGAAAGAACGTAGTGTCAAGTTTGAGCACCTATATGTAATGATACTGTCAGACTTAGCTATCACAAAACAAACATGTCACAAGAAAACTACAGTCCAATATCCCTTGTGAATCTACAGTACATGCAATAGTCCTCGATGAAATCCTAGCAAACTAAATCTGGCAGTACAGCAAGGATTCTAAATCATGTCCAAGAGGGATTTTTCTCAAAAGGCAAGGTTGATCTAATACATAAAAATCAATGTAATACTGTATACCATATTAATAGGATAAAAGACAAAAAGCCATAGAAGGGGGAAAGTTCTGATATACGCTAAACCATGACTGAAACTTTGATAACTTTGTTAAGTGAAAGAATCTGAACTCACCGAAAGACTGCGTATTGTGTGAGCCTCTTCATATGAAATACCCAGAATGGGCAATCCTATACAAACAGTACAGTAGGATTTTTAGTGGAGAAGGTGGGAGTGGGGAGTGGCTGACAGTGGGGATGGGGTTTGTTTTGGTGCCATGGAAATGTTCTGGAAATCTGACTGCAAAATCTTGTGATGCTGCTAAAACTGCTGAATTGCACCTTTCCAAATGCTGAACTCTGTCATATGTGAATTATATCTCAGTGAAAGCGAATGTGTGTGAGAGACTGAGGCTTACAGAGTCCTAGAAGAGCAAGTAGATGCTCACATAGGTGCTAACTGATGGACAGCTGCAGATCTTTCTAGCCCTTCTTTGCTGACTGATAGGATGGCGGTGAGTGCCTGATAGCTTACCCCATGTAATCTCCAAGACATTGGGTCACTTCTGGTAAAGACTAAGTTCTTCAAAGTTAGTAAAGGCTACGTTCTTTCCGATTCTCCAATTTCCAACTCTCCCTCCTAAGCCTTGTTTCAATTTTGCTTTCAGCATCAGCATGACGACCTGTTCCACAGTGGCTGCCCTGGGAATGATGCCCCTCTGCCTGTATCTCTACACCTGGTCCTGGGACCTGGCCCAGAGTCCCACCATTCCGTATCAGAACATAGGTCTGTATTGGGCTTGCGAACTGCAGTAATAACAGCAACGGTGAGAGTGCCAGCAGTAACTGTTTTTTATTGCATAGCTCTACATGCAGGGTTTTTGTATGATTTCATTTAATCCCTAAATAACTTCACGGTATGAATTTTATTACTGGTTCTGTTTCCTGGATTTTGGGGCTTAGAAAGGTTAAGTAACTCAGCCAAGATTATGTGGGTGGTTGGTGCAGAACTGGAATTGTAACTCAGGAATCCGACTGCAAAGTCCAAGCTCTTAACTGCTATCCATGTGTGAGCCTTTTGCTGCAGTATTCAGATACGTGCAGGATGCAGGTGCTGTGAGGAAAAGAGGCTTCTGGAGTGTTGAAGTTTGGGGTTTTGCAAGGGGAACAATACAATACAGGACACTTAATTACACAGTTATTTGTAATAGTCACCCAAAGATCATACACAAAAGGAGTGTGGGAAATCTGTCCACACACTAAAGACCAAAGAATACAGCTGAGGGCCTGGATCCCATGACAGTGTCCTGCATGAGTCCAGCTGAAGACCTAGAGCCCATGGCAATGCCCCC